GGGTGGTGGGGTATGTTAACCATGAGTTAAAGTCAAATCTTAGGCATGTGGAGTGTGACGAGGAAAATGTGAAAGCTTTATGGGTAGATATCTGCTTGGAGCAAACAAAGGGAAATCAATTATTGGTTGGGATATGTTATAAACCACCTAATGTAAATATTAACGAGGAAGAACAGCTGTTAGAGCAAATTGGGAAAGCTGCAAATTGGGGTAACACGTTAATTATTGGAGATTTTAATTACCCGGACATAAATTGGGATAGAGGGACTAGTACTTCAGCGAGGGGAATCAGGTTTTTGAATGTGTTAAATGACACCTTTATGTCAAAACTGGTACAAGCACCAATTAGAAAGGATGCGTGTCTGGATCTCGTGATAACAAACAATGTTGATCTTTTAACCAACATTCAAGTAGGGGAGCATTTGGGAAATAGTGATCACAATATGGTAATTTTTAAAATAAACTCAAAAAAGCAAAAGCACATTGGGTATACTAAAACATATAATTTAAAAAAAAGCCAATTTCAATAAGATTAGGGCAGCTCTACAACATATCGACTGGCATAAACTCTTCAGTGATAAAAACACTGAGGATAAATGGAAACTATTCAAACAAATATTAGAAAGGTACATTTCTCAGTATGTACCATTGGGTAATAAATATAAAAGAAAGAAATTAAAACCAATGTGGCTTAGTAGAGAAGTAAACCAAGAGATCAAAAAAAAAGAAAAGGGAATTTAAAGCATTTAAATCAGACAAATCAGAGGCATTCTATATAAGATATAAGGAAGCCAATAATGCTTGCAAAAAGGCAATTAAAGTGGCTAAACTAGAAAAAGAGAAATTGATAGCCAAAGAATGCAAAACCAACCCCCAAATGTTTTTCAAGTACATCAATTCTAAAAAAATTAAAAAATTAAAGTGTAGGTACACTGGAAACAGAGATGGGTTTGTTAGCTAACGAAGACCAGGAAAAAGCTGAAATTTTAAATAACTATTTTCTTCATTATATATTAATGAGGATCCTATGGCAAGAGATATGCAAATGATTGCTGCAAAAAACTTGTAGATGACATGTGATTGGATAACTCGAGACAAAGTGCTACAGCTATTAAAGAAAATTAATGTAAATAAAGCTCTGGGGCCTGACGGTATTCACCCACGAGTACTTAAGGAGCTAAGTGGGGAAATAAGTGAACCTCTGTATTTAATTTTTCAAGATTCTTTTGTTTCAGGTGTTGTACCGGAGGATTGGAGGAAGGCAGATGTTGTTCCTATATTTAAAAAGGGTTCAAAATCCTTGCCTGGAAATTATAGACCTTTGAGCTTTACTTCTGTGACTGGGAAAATATTTGAAGGGTTATGAAGGGACACTATTCAGGAATTCATTGGGAAGAACTTTGTTGTTAGCAATAATCAGCATGGTTTTATGAAACATAGGTCATGTCAAATTAATCTAATCGCATTCTACGAAGAAGTAAGTAGAAGTATAAATCAGGGTGTTGCAGTGGATGTGAGCTACTTGGATTTTGCCAAGGCATTTGATTCCTCACAATAGGTTAGTCTTCAAACTAAAAGAAATTGGTCTAGATGAACATTCTTGTTCTTGGTAAGTGGTGTCCCTCAGGGTTCTGTTTTGGGACCGCTCCTATTTAACATATTTGTAAAGGATCTTGAAACAGGCATTGAAAGCCATGTTTTAGTGTTTGCAGATGACACAAAACTTTGCAAAAGTAATAACATGTGAGCAGGATATTGCTTTGCTGAAGAGGGATTTAGACAGATTGGGGGACTGGGCATTAAAATGGCAGATGAAATTTAATGTAGAGAAATGCAAAGTTATGCACTTTGGGGTCAAGAATGCACAAGCAACTTACACCCTAAATGGTAGTGAATTAGGGGTAACCACACACAAGAAGGATTTGGGAATTGCTTTAGACAACAAATTAGGCAGCAATATGCAATGACAATCTGCAGTTGCTAAGGCCAGTAAGGTTTTGTCATGCATAAATAGGGGCATAAATTCTCGGGATGAAAATATAATTTTGCCTCTTTATAAATCACTGGTAAAACCACACCTTTAAGGATGTCATGGCACTAGAAAAAGTGCAAAGGCAAATTGATAAAAGGAATAGAGCATTTTAGTTACGAAGAAAGGTTAAAAAAAATGTAAATCCGTTTAGTTTGGAAAAATGGCGCCTGAGAGGGGATATGATAACATTATACAAATATATTTGGGGCCAGTACAAACCTTTATCTGGAAATCTATTCATAAACAGTGCTATACATAGGACACGAGGTCACACATTTAGGCTGGAAGAAAGGAGATGTCATCTAAGGCAAAGAAAAGTTTTTTTTGCAGTAAGAGCAATAAGGATATGGAATTCTCTGGTGGTTTTGTCAGAGTCCATACAGATGTTTAAATTGCAATTGGATAAATACTTGCAAAAACATAACATACAGGGATATAATTTCTAATTAATGGGGTTATAGCTGCTTGATCCAAGGAGACATCTGACTGCTATTCTAAGGCAAAGAAAAGTGGGTTTTTTTAGATTTATTTCCAGCTAGCACCCACCCCAGTCAGTTCACGCACCTGACAGACCGACAGCTATCAGGGCCACCACGGCGGGACCATTTAATCACAGTTCGAGGTCACGCCCCTGCCCTTCGCATAGATCCATCAAGACACTTCACTGAGGCACCGGCCTTCTCACATCGTGTCATAGTTAAAACTGCGTTTCACATCACCTCGTTTATTCTGTTCTCACAGGAGGATACCGCTCCAGCCACCTCCTTCACGGGGTAAATGCTCAATAGACACCCAAGATCACCTCCATCCCTTTTAATGTTATATAGGGATCTCACCCTCCATAAATGAGCCAGATACACATCAGAAAATATTCATCTCCTTAAACAATCATTACTCCTAACTCATGTGCGTATCCATGTTCCAGAATGTCACACGCTTTTGACATAGCCGAGGATATCTCCCTCCCTACCCTGCCAGAGTCTCAAGCCCAGCCAGACCAGGCACCCCAGGCGAGAACATAGACATGGCAAGTCTAGGGTCTCTACGTTCTTGGACCATACCCAAGATCGCAGCCGAACTCAGGAGAAGAGGCGTACCATACCCGGCCACGGCTTGTAAAGTGGAACTATACCACCTCATGAAGGCTAACCCTGACACCCCGCGACCAAGCACTAGCACACAGGGAAACGACGGAAACACGTCAAGAATCCAGGCCACCATGTCAGCACTTCTATCTGTTAGGCTACAAAGGTTTTTATAATTGGAACTCAACTGCAGCTTGTAGAACTCCTTGATTACAATAGTAATGAAACGGAGAATCTTTAAATTATCAATACTGTAGCTTTAAGAAAAGAGAGGAGTGCTGGCAATTAGAGAATCAAACAAAGTTTTAATGAGTGTGATAAACTTAAGTGAATAGCATATAGGTAATAATTCAATAAGAAGAAATTGCTGGTTATAGCAAACAATACAAAGTTCATTAATAAGTATTTCTTAGTATTGAATAATATTCTTTAGGTTGATGGGAATAATCCTCAATAGAAATAATATGCAGGTAGCAGAGAATATTTGCAAAGCAAGAAACAGTTCATAGTGGTTAAGCTTGATGGGAGTTATCCTCAATATAAATAGTATGTATGCAGCAGAGAAGATTTGAGCAAGCAAGAAACAGTTCATTAATAACTGAGATTACAGATAATAGATTGAAAGTTATACTTAAGATTAATGTGAGTTGTCCTCCAAGAGATCAGTATTAGAGTCCAATTGATAAATGGTAAAGTGTCCGTTCTCCAGTAATCCTCTAGCAGATGAAGCATAATCCTTGACATACACTGGGAGTAAATGGGGGTACAGCAGATGGGGCTAGTGCTCCAGTAAGAGCAGATGGAGGGATTCTTTATGATGCCCATCAGCATATTCAATTCCCAGAATTTTTTTAAATTCTGGCACATCGATCAGGTGGCCCACTGCTGCTTAGCCAAAAAAGAGTGGGGCTTTGCAGCACACAATGGACACACAAATTAGTTTGGGTGACCTGAACATTTCATCCTCTCACTCCCCCCACAAGGCCTAGTAGGGAATTCATCTGCCTCTTCCAAAACCTTGTAACGGCCACAACACGACTAATATCCAAATACTGGAAACAATCACAACCACCCCAATCAGGGAATGGATACAGAGAGTGGAGGAGGTTAAACAGATGGAAGAAATTTCCTATGCTAAATCCAAAAACTTTAGTAAATTCTCACAAATATGGGGACCATGGGACAACTTCCTTCAGTCTGATCTCAAGTGAAATCCAAAGACTTAAGACAACACTTACACCCCAATCCTACTCAACCTATGCATAAAATACAAGACCAGATGAGGGAATTCATACCCGATATAACTTTGCAACTACGACTAAAGTTCAAGGTAAAACACTGACTCTAAACTTTAGTACTCCTGACGAAAACTGACTTAACCCCTTAAGGACCAAACTTCTGGAATTAAAGGGAATCATGACATGTCACACATGGCATGTGTCCTTAAGGGGTTAAAGGGACACTCCAGGCACCCAAGACCACTTCTGCCCATTGGAGTGGTCTGGGTGCCAACTCCCACTACTCTTAACCCTGCAAGTGTAATTATTGCAGTTTTTTATAAACTGCAATAATTACCTTGCATGGTTAAGTCCTCCCCTAGTGACTGTCTACTAGACAGCCACTAGAGGGCACTTCCATGTCCAGCGTCGCTCATTTCCCCATAGGAAAGCATTTTCAATGCTTTCCTATGGGGAGCTCTAATGCGCATGTGCAGCTTTGCCGCGCATGCGCATCAGGTCTCCCTGGCCGGTGGCCGGGATCAATCTCGCCCACCGGCCGACGCAATCACTGGGAGGAGCAGCAGCTGAGGAAGAAGCAGCGACGTGGGACATTGTCGCTGCCTCTGGTAAGTTACTGAAAGGGTTTTAACCCCTTCAGCAACCAGGGATTGGGGGGTGGGAGGGAGAGGGGAACTGCAGTGCCAGGAAAACAATCCATTTTCCTGGCACTGCAGTTCCCCTCTCCCTCCCACCCCCCAATCCCTGGTTGCTGAAGGGGTTAAAACCCTTTCAGTAACTTACCAGAGGCAGCGACAATGTCCCACGTCGCTGCTTCTTCCTCAGCTGCTGCTCCTCCCAGTGATTGCGTCGGCCGGTGGGCGAGATTGATCCCGGCCACCGGCCAGGGAGACCTGATGCGCATGCGCGGCAAAGCTGCACATGCGCATTAGAGCTCCCCATAGGAAAGCATTGAAAAACGGATTGTTTTCCTGGCACTGGAGTTTCCCTTTAATATCTTACTTGTAAAAGACTAACATACCACTCTAGTAATAAAGTAATAAATCCTTAGCATAATCCTAACATCTTTGACTATGTAAGTCGAAACGAAGTTGACTTCGATACAGTGTCACCATGGGGCTCTATTACTCACTATTCTTCTTACCTTTACTAATGATAACATTATGGTATTCTGTATAGTAACCTTGTATTTCCCAATGTCAACAAGATACAGAACTCATGTAAACTATTTTGTAACCTTGCACTTTTGTTTATGATTAATGTTCAAAATGTTTATACTGATGCATTTATAAAAAAGAATTAGTTTGGGCGACAATGTTCCCCAATACATCATCGCCCAGAAACACCTCCATAAGCTGCTGAGCTAAATCCTGCGACATCCACATTGATGCCAGGATTTGCAGTGAGGGGTGGGATATCTGGCCTCTGGCAATGAGGCACTACCCACTCCTCAGCAAAAAAATTCCATACCAGCCCCATAATGCATCGTGCCAGCATAGTGCGCAGATATGGAAGCGGGAAAAAAACTGAAAACTATCAACATGAAAGAAAGCACTTATAGGGCTTCAAAATAAAGCAGAGCAGATTTATTGTAAACAGACGCAGACATGCATTTGCATTTAATCCATGTTTCAGTCCAACTACCTTGATATATTAAGAAATGTTTGGTCATTTGGATTGAAATTGTGAATGTATGCTATTGCACAGCAGTAAAAAAATTATATTATCTTGCTCATTTTGAAGCAACGAGTGTGCTGTTCACTTTGTCCGGCAACTGGATGATCTCTCATAGGAAAGCATTGGGAGGCTATTGCGTAGGTGTGGCAAAACGCCGTGCTTCACCGCACCAATCAGCATCTCCTCATAGAGATACATTGCATCATTGCATCTCTACGGGGAGTGTTCAGGACCTTCATGCAGAGAGTGTAGATGCTCAATATAGGTGCTGCACACTGTGCAGCACTGGACTAGAAAGCATCTCTAGTGGTCGTCTGAGTGACTGTCACTAGAGGTGTGCCTAGGCAGAAATGTAAACACTGCCTTTTCCATGAAAAGGTAGCATTAACAGTGCTCAGCCTACAGGGACAGGCTATAGACAACATAACCAATACATTAAACTGTAGTAGTTCTGGTGACTATAGTGTCCTTTTAATATCAAGTCTTTCTCTCACCAGCCGACTTTGAGTTACAGGGAGAGCAGGAGACACAAGTGAAGTTTGTTTGTCTTTCTCCCCCAATCCCCCTTCACGTGTCTCTTAGTCCCAGACCCTTTGACTCTTTCCCAGGTCCCAGCACCTCTATTCTTATGTATCCCCACAGCTCCTCTGTGTGTCTCATTCTCTCCTTCCCCACCCCCTCTGTGTGTCTCTTGTTTGTCTTCCTCAGCTCCTCTGTGTGTCTCCTGTTCCCCTTTCCAAATCTGTCTGTCTCTTTCCCACACACCTCCGTGTGTCTTTTTTACTCCCCAGCCCCATCCATGTGTCTCATTACCTCACAGCCCTCCATGTGTCTCAGTAGCCCCCACATGTGTCCCATTAGCCCCCCAGCCCTTCATGTGTCCTATTAGCTCTCTCTCCCAGTCATCCATGTATCCCTATAGCTCTCCCAGCCCTCCATGTGTCCCTATGCCCCCTCCCAACCTTCCATGTGTCTAGAGTGACCAGATTTTGAAAATATAAAAATGGATCATCATTAGCGATACAAAAATCGCTAAAAGAAACAAAAACAAAACAGAGAAATACATAAGTCTTTAACCTCTTCTTGGCCAGAAGTGGCTGTTACAGCTCATCCCCTTCCTGGTACTCAAATGAGTGTCTTTTCATTTACATTTTGTAGGAGCATGATCATCAGAGCACACACATACCCTAGACCAGGGCCATCGTAACAGCATAACAGCCCACTGGGCAAACCAATGCACTGGGGCCCTGACTTTGCAACCACTCAAAGGAATAAAAATATAAATTATCAATAAAATGAGGCTTATATTTATTGGTACCTCCAACAAATACAATACTTACACACACACACAGACAGAGAATACACACACACACACACTGCTGAATGCACACAAAGAGAGAGTGCCGTTTGTGTGTGAATGGGGTGCTGTGTGCGTGGAAGGGTGCTTTGTGCGTGGAAGGGTGCTGTGTGTGTGGAGAGGTTCTGTGTGCGTGGAGGGGTTCTGTGTGCGTGGAGGTTTGCTGTGTGTGGAGGGGTGCTGTGTGTGAAGGGGTTCTGTGTGTGTGGAGGGGTGTTGTTGGTGGGGGGGAGGGGGTGTAGTGTGTGTATGGGGGGGGGTTATAGCCTTGATACATTTAAAAAAAAAAAAGCTTTATATTACCACCCTCCCCCTGGCTGCAGGCTGACTTCGCTCTCCTCCTGCGAGAACAGCAGGCAGGTCTGAGCGTTGCCATGGTAACGCATGGCAACGCTCCAACCTGCCTGCTTGCGGGAGGAGCGTTCTCGCTTGCAGGTTTCTGTCAGACCGGGTAGGGGAACAGAAGCTCCCCTACCCGGTCTGCCTGCTCGGCCACGCTACATTCTGTGACCGGCAGGAGGGGAGCGCATCACCTTCTGACGGTCACCCTATAATTGCGGCCCGGGCTGGTGCACACTAGGCGGCCGCGCACCGGCCCCCTAGTGTGCCGGCCCACCAGGAAATTTACCGGTATCCCGGTGGGCCAGTCCGGCCCTGAGTAATATATATCTGATAGTGAGAGTACAGATTATCAACTCACATGATTTAGAGCCCTAATTAGGATAGGCTCAAATCTCTTGCGCTTGTGTGCCGTCTGGTGGCACCTTCCCCTTAAGATGGACACAAAGATCTTTCCTTGGTATTGGGAGACAAAAGATGGCACAACGGGAGATACTTATGGTGTAGTATGTTTTAGAATAATATCTTAAGGTGTACAGCTTTAAATTTCTTGCTCAACTTGTTTAAAGCCTAAATGCCTAGCTCTAGGTTACAACAGCATGGATGTCAATAAAAGGGACACCACCCTTTTTGGAGCAGGTATCAGACGACCAAGGATGGACTTGTGCAAAATGTAAATTTATTGAATTAAAAACACTATTTAAAACAAAAATAAATGAATATAAAATAAGTCCAACAAAGTTACATAGTTACATAGTTACATAGCTGAAAAGAGACTTGCGTCCATCAAGTTCAGCCTTCCTCACATTTGTTTTTTGCTGTTGATCCAAAAGAAGGCAAAAAAAAACAGTTTGAAGCACAATTTTGCAACAAGCTAGGAAACAAATTCCTTCTTGACCCCAGAATGGCAGTCAGATTTATCCTTGGATCAAGCAGTTATTACCCTACATTGAAAGATTATATCCTTGAATATTCTGTTCTTGCAAGTATGCATCTAGTAGCCGTTTGAACATCTGTATGGACTCTGATAAAACCACTTCTTCAGGCAGAGAATTCCACATCCTGATTGTTCTTACAGTAAAAAAACCTTTCCTTTGCCTTAGACGAAATCTTCTTTCTTCCAGTCTAAACGCATGGCCTCGTGTCCTATGTAAAGTCCGGTTTGTGAATAGATTTCCACACAATGGTTTGTATTGGCCCGAATATATTTGTATAATGTTATCATATCCCCTCTCAGGCGACGTTTTTCTAAACTAAATAGGTTTAAATTTGTTAACCTTTCTTCATAGCTGATATGTTCCATTCCTTTTATTAATTTTGTAGCCCGCCTCTGCACTTTTTCTAGTGCCATAATATCCTTCTTTAGAACAGGTGCCCAAAATTGCACAGCATATTCAATATGGGTCTTACCAGTGATTTATAAAGAGGCAAAATTATATTCTTGTCCCGAGAATGAATGCCCTTTTTCATGCATGACAATACCTTACTGGCCTTGGCCACTGCTGATTGACATTGCACATTGTTGCATAGTTTGTTGTCTATAACAATTCCCAAGTCCTTTTCATGTGTTGTTATCCCTAATTCGCTTCCATTAAGGGTATACGTTGCTTGTGTATTCTTTACGCCGAAGTGCATAACTTTGCATTTTTCAACATTAAATTTCATCTGCCATTTGAGTGCCCAGTCTCCCAGTCTATCTAAATCCCTCTGCAGCAAAGTAATATCTTGCTCACATTGTATTGTTTTACAAAGTTTGGTGTCATCTGCAAACACTGAAACATGACTTTCAATGCGGTCTTCAAGATCATTTATAAACATGTTAAATAGAAGGGGTCCCAGAACAGACCCCTGAGGGACACCACTTGCCACCTCTGTCCAGCTTGAAAATTTACCATTAATGACAACTCTTTGTACTCTGTTTTTAAGCCAATGTTCTACCCAAGAACAAGCATTTTCATCTAGACCGATTTCCTTGAGTTTGAACACTAATCTATTGTGTGGAACTGTATCAAATGCCTTGGCAAAATCCAAATAGATCACATCCACGGCAACACCCTGATCTATACTTCTACTTACTTCTTCGTAGAACGCAATCAAGTTAGTTTGACATGACCTGTGCTTCATAAAACCATGCTGATTTTTGCTGATAACCATGTTCTTCTCAAGGAATTCTTGAATATTATCCCTTAATAAACTTTCAAATATTTTACCAGCCACAGAAGTTAAGCTCACAGGTCTATAATTTCCAGGCAAGGATTTTGAACCCTTTTTGAATATAGGAACCACATCTGCCTTCCTCCAATCCTCCGGAACACTTCCTGAAAGAAAAGAATCTTGAAAGATTAAAAACAGAGGTTCACTTATTTCTGCACTTAGTTCCTTAA